GCACTTGTCTGTCTGTGTCTGTCTTACTTCACCTAATACAGTGCCCTTCAGTTCCATCCATTTTGCTTTAGGTAACAGGATTTCATTCCTCTTTATGGCTAAATAGTATGCCCTTGTGTTCATACGCCACATTTTCTTAATGCATTCATTCTTTGATGGCTCCCTAGTTTGATTCCACATATTAATTGTTGAGAATAATGCCCCAATAAACATAGGCAAGCAGGTATGCCTTTGGCATGCTAATCTCATTTCCTCTGAATAAATATATATATATATATATATATATATATATATATATATATATATATATATATATATATATATGCAGAAGTGCTGTAGCTGGGTCATAAGTAGATCAATTTTTAGTTTGCATTAGTTCAATTTAATATTAAAACAAATTTAAATTTGAAAAATTGTCATTATGTGTATCACTGTTATTTATGGCAAGCCAATGGTAAATAGTTTTTAATAATTTAAAATTCACTACATGATATCTGCAGTCCTATTTATTGCAACACTATTCAAAAAAGCTTAGAAAAGGAAATGACCTAAGTGCTCATCAATTAAAGAATGGACAAAGAAAATGTGATACATACATACAGTGGAATACTATCCAGCTATGAAAAAAAGGATGAAACTTTGTAACTCAGGACAATGTGAATAGGACTAGAGATCATGATGCTAGTGAAAAGTGAAAGAGGCCAAACTCAGAAAGATAAGCACCACAGGATCTGACTCATCTGTGAATCTAAAGATGTTTATCTCTTAGAAGTTGAGAGAGGGAGCCGAGCCGGGGAGGGGGAAAGGTGGACTAATGGCTACCAAGTTACCATTAGATGCTAGTAAAGCCTGGTGTGCTGCTGCACAGCTAGTGACCATGGGTAACAGTAATGAATGTGATTTCAAAAAGCTAGAAGGAAGGATTTTAAAAGTTTTCAACACAAACAAGTGGGGAATATTGGAGGAGGTAGACATGTTTAACCTGATTTAAACACTTCCCAATTATACATGTATTGAACTTCATATTATCCCAGTAATGCGTGTGATTTAAACTAAATATGAATACTTTTATAAAATTAAGGCCTGTCTCTAAGCACATTTAACTCTAAAACATACTCTCCATAAATGAGTTTTCAAAATTAAACCTTCGGATTCCGACTGACATTGTTCTCTGAATTCAGATTCTTTCAAATACCTGGGCCATATATAAAATGAGAATAATGCAAGGTTATTTGCAAATTAATGAAATATTTTTGAATATTGACAAAATATGATTTATATAATCGTTCGTTAGATACAAAGTAAAACTATTATGTATGTAACAATGGAAAATGGTTGAATCGAGCTAGAATCTTTATTAAAACCATTCATCACACAAGGAAAAATACTTTCAAAGTAGCATAAAGAAAGTCCCCTTCATAATGGCGACACTCATCGAAACCCGTGATTTTCCATGTGGTCTAATTGAGAGACCCAGCTTCCAAAACTAATAATGCATGAAGATTGGGTTTTCTTCCCAAGTACAATTTAGAATCAAGGGAGAGCCCCTCAAAATTTCACCACAGTGTGAAATATTTTAGATGAGGAGATTGTGTTGATCTCTACATGGTGTTTGCACTGAGCATGCGTTTGTGCCTGGACAGAGGCCTTACTGTTTTAAGGGGGAAGTGGAATATTAAGATCGTGCAGAACCTCAAGCATTAGAGGAAGAGTGTGTGGTTTCGGAGGACCCTGATGGGAAAGCTTGTGCTCCTTCCCTGAGACTCGGTGGCCTTGTTTCAGTCTCCAGGCAGCTTTGCAGGAGGAAGGCCTGGAGAAAGGCAGGAGTCTCTGGAATGTTCCCCCAGAACGCTTCTCCAAGTGCAGCTTTGCCGAATCTACCCACCAACTTAAAGATGGGACCGCACGCAGGGCGATCCTACAGCGGAACAGCTGTATGTGCACAGGTACTGAGGGAGGATTTGCTGACTTCCGTCCTTAGTACCATGATCAGGAATGCACCCTTCTCTTGTCCTGTGTAGTTATGATGCTTTGTTCTCATGTCCCTAGGCCCAGGGGAAGATGTTACTACATCATTTGTATATCTTAAAATCAAGAAATTTTGGTAGATTTTTATATAAAATCTGTTTTATATAATAGAAATACAGGTAGATTCTATTCAATGGCACTGATTATAGAATATATTTTAATTAAGTTATTAGAAATTATAACTCCAAAATTGAAAAAAAAAACTTGACACTTTAAGAAGCAGATGTTCACATCTCTGTAATAAATTTCTATGTTAAACAGATGGTGTCTCGATTTGATAGAAAAGGAAAAAATAAGTCATTCTTGCATCCTTATGCCTGACTCTGCTTGTGTTGGAGGAAAGTTTTAAGAAGTTTACAATGAAAATATCTATGTATGGTTCTGGTTTTCTTTTCTTTTTCTTGAGGATGGGAGGAAAACAGAGCTACAGAAATATACTTCACCTAGATCAAAAACAGAGGCAAATGAAATGATGTGATAGAAGAATCAAAAGGACCCCGGGTCACTGTTTCTATACTTTTTCAGTGGGAAGATCTTTCTAAACATAGCACACAGAACCTAGGAGACAGAAAGGAAAATGTTCACCCATTTTACTTATAAAAGAAATTTTATAAACTTTGTAAGAAGATTTAATGACAAACAGATAAATATTACTCACAGAGAGATAAATTTTAATACAGAAGTTGCCCTTTCTGATGACCTTGAGGAAAACCAATGACCTGTAAAGACATCCAGCTGGAATTAGAAATGGAGAAAAGTCTACACAGAAGGAATGCAAAAGATTGATAAGTGCACACGCATGTGCTGGGTCCTAAGTAACTCACACCTTAAAGAAACAGACCACTGGGAGATTCTGTAGGCTCCTTTACCAGAGAGAGGTAAATTCTAAAAATATAACAATATTTTTAGAAGAGGTGAAATAGGTACCTCCTTGTTGATGGTTAGTTCAGAATTACTACAAATACTTAGAACTTTTAGCTCATCAGGCCCTCCTACAGGACTTAATCACAGAGATAACCTGTCCCAAATGAACACTGTAGCCTTGCTTTTTAAAGGAGAAATTTAAGTCAGTTACTAAAAGAATGAGGTAGAGCTGTATTTATTGACAAGAATAATGTTGTGATAGATCACGTGGTACAGACAGCAAACCATGATCAGTGTGAGTGTGATCACATGTGTGCACATTATCTATAACAATATAAATCATACCACTGCACACAAACACTAGTAACAAGATATGACATGTGCCTACAGAGATATGTGCATATAAGCATGCTCACAGAGGCATGGAGAAGTATCTCCAGCATATTTACACTAACGTGAGCAGTGCCTACCCTTGGTGGAAAGCTTCCAGGTTGGCCTTTATAATAGTCTGGCTTGAGTTTTTTAATGAAAGTAATAAATGCACATGGCCAGAGTCCTGGGGTTACTGTGACAGGAGGTTGTTAGGATCCCTTTTCACCCTCCCTTGTCTCTACTGCTGGAAAAAGCCCTTGTAACCCTTTCTGTCTGAACTTCTTTAGGTAGTTTATAAATAGTCATTGCATAATAACTTAGTAAAGCATAGTTTTCAACCCCCATCTCTCGATGTCTCCTCTGTAAACGTACGTTCTCACGGTGTGATTCTGAAGTTGGCTTTGCCCTGTTTTGAGTCTTTTTCTTAAAACAGGACAGGTGCTCACCATGCAGAACAGGTGCTGAACAGTAATGAGGCAGAGAAGATGAGCACAGCCCCTGAGCAGGCATAACGTGCAAGTTCAGGAAGCGTGACTCGTTTGTTCGTTCCCAAATTAAAAAGCTGGGTTTCCTTTCTCTAAGAATAAAAGAAAGAAAAGAATTGTAATACAAAAGAAAATGGAAGGGGATGCTATTTTTAATCGAGGTTCTGTGTTCAGAAGGTTGCTGTGTGGTTTAAATGACCCGGTCCCCAGAACAGTGCCTTACTTAGGATTGCCATGTTCCATGTGCTGTGGCTGTCTTGCGTTATTCTCATCAGCAACTTGATACTTATACAACCTCCCTGCCTGCTTCTTGATGGTTGAGCTGTGACTTTTGGCCCTGCTTTGGGTGGCCTGGTAGCCGTATGAAGTCCTCCCTTGCTCTAAGTGGCGTCCTCACCCTGTGATAGGGACAGTAGGCCTGTGGCTGGCTTCACTTCCCTGTGTATTTTTGGCTTCTCACAGTGATCCTTGTTTCTTTCCCATCCCCCCAATTTACCTCTTTTGTATTTGTAATGCAGGGGACCTAATCCTCATCTAATAATCCATGTTGTATATAAAATATTCACCATCTGCCACTCGTGATGTAATATGGTGGATATTATGTATGCAGCTATGTGTATTGCAAGTTTGAATATATGTTACAGTACTCAAAAGGAAGATATCCCTATTGCATTGAATTTCAACTAACTGCATTGAAGCATTTTAGATGTTCATGCTTTTCCTTGGGGCAGTTTCTCAAATTGTCTCTGCCTCAGTTATCTAATCGGTAAAGTGGCAATGGCATTTATGATGACTGTGATGGTGTTGCTGTTTGTGGTGACAATGGTAAAGAGGGATACTTGGACTTGCTTGTTCAAGACAAGTGTCCAGGTAATATACTGGTTTTCCTGGAGTTTATACAATTGTGTGTGTTCAATAAATGGTGCCTATTATGAAGGAGATGTTAATGATGATCACGTTGGCAGTGGTGGTACTGATGGTGAGAATAACTATTTTGTCTTTGAGCACAGGAAAATTTTAACTTTAGCTCAGCTCGTGACACCAAAATTCTCTCGTTAGGATGTGGAGTCACCTGTCCAGTATGCTAGATAAAACAAAAATAAGTGATGTGTTACTAGATACTAGAATGTACAGGTAACTATGTTGTGCAGACTAAATGCTCACTGGTGCTCATAGCTGTCTCTGTGCCTGCTCCGAGAGGGACAGGCTAGGCAAAGCTGCCCCTCTGTTGACCCTTTGCTGTGTTTCCAGCACCTGTATTGGCGCCCAGGACCCTTACTGCGGCTGGGACGTGGTGATGAAGAAATGCACGAGCCTGGAGGAGAGCCTCAGCATGACCCAGTGGGAGCAGAGCCTCTCCACCTGCCCGGTACGTGCCCACCCATCCAGCCCCAGGAGGCACTGTCTGAGAAGCTGGCCTCCTGACCACCCACCCACACTCCCCACGTCTCCACACCCCTCAGGTGGGAACTATCCTTGCAAATCCAGTGTGTGTTTTCTGAACTCTCTCAGCTCTTAGCTTGCAGGAAGGACACATGGATTCTGTCGCAAGCTTTTTGCTTGCGGATGTCTTAAGATACTATCATGGATCATAGTGTTGCTGAATCTTGGAATTATCCCCTGCAGTGTGGAATGGACTCTTTTGCCCCTTGTAGCACTAATAAAATGGGAGCTTCCACATCAGGACATTTCCCTCGGAGACAGTAATTTCAGAAATCAACATCAGTGCAGATTTGAAAAGAGTAAACTAAAGGATATTACTTTGACCCCATGTGGAGCCAACTAGTAGAAATTGCTCTGGGTCACGGGAAGGCCTGGGAGAAGCATCCGCGTGTGCATTCCCACGCTGAACCCTGAGGGATAAGGAGAAACATGCCTGCATTTACAGCCAGACCATGAATCCAAGAAAAGCAAACTCCACTGTTCCCTTTGCTCATCTGTTTGATTCAGGTCCTCACTTGTAGGAACTTCTTCTTTCCTTTGGAATTCTTCACCCAGTCATCTCAAATTCACTTTTCTGTTCTCATAGCACAAGAGCAAGTGCTATTAGCTTCCATGTCTTTGAAAAGCTACAAAGTCTCTCTGCCATCATATAACTGCAGGTCTCTGCATGTCAGTTATGATGGGACAGGGGTGGGAAGGGAAGTGGCACATTGGTTGTGCTAGCCTTTGCTGTCCCCCAATCCAGCAGAACCCCAGACACATCTGAGCAGTTGCTCTGCTTCCCATCAGGCACCAGCCCTCTCCACCGTCTGAACCCTATGCTCCTGCAGCCCATGCCTCAGCCTGAAGTCAGGAAATGGGACCACCAAAGGGAAGAAGGCTACGGAAGCCAGCATCCTTCCCCAGATGTGGGCATGGGGTCAGGCATCCTTCCTGCAAAGGGTCCTGTTGGTTGGTCTGTGCTGCCACACCCAGGCTCTGACAGCTCCCAAAGAGGTTAAACTGTTGGCATCTTTCGTTATGTTGCTCCAGGTCTTTGCTTTAATAAGGAAACTTTCCTGCCATAACTCTTGAAAATGGCTAGAAAAATGCCAGTGTTAGCGCTAAGTCCCTTCTGCCTCTGAACAACACTAAGAGCACAAAGGTGGTCACCTTAAATTCTTTGCAGAAGATAAACACTAAATGTATACTATCTTAAATATAGCTCCCAAGTGCAGACATGTCCTTCAGAACATCTTGTTGTAGGTCTTGGACTTTGCATCTTTGACGATAGAAAAGAAAGAGACGATAACTGCAGTTCTTCTTAAGCAATAACACTCTGGCCTCAGGCCTGTGCTTATTCCAGCGAGTATTCAAGATGTGCTCATTACGTAATGGGAAACTCACACTCATGCCCTTGGTTTATAGCAAATGTGTGTCTTGGCTATTTTACAGCAAAAAAGAAAAAGAGAAAGATCCAGTATTTCAGTGACTTGAGAGTTGTTATTAGAGTTGTTTCCTGCTTATGAGAGGACAGCTTCCAGTAAAGACAGATGGACTTGCCCTGGTGCTTTGCACACAGAGCTGAGGTGTGTTTCCTGACTGAGGGCCACAGAACACTTGTAGTAAGATCGAACTTCTAATGCGAGGTGATTTCACTACACCCAACCATTTTCCTATCCTCTTACTCAATGGACTTTGTAACATAGCAAGATATGCTTTGAATAGTTGAAAACATGCAAAGAAGCCAATAGTAGGAAATAAATTATGTTGTTTGGGCAAAAAAACCCAGATAAATAAATAAACAATTTTTTAATTTATATATGCTGCCATATAGAAAATAAAAACTACTATCTAACTTATTATTCTGATTATTGGTTGTAATAATGATACTAGCTCATAAATAATAAGGAAATACTGTTTATTCATCATTGTCTAATAATCTTTTACAAAAGGGTAAGTTAGATGAAAATTATTGGCATCAGTGTAGATAGAGTAGATTCAGATATTTTTGAAAGTCATTAAAAATTTTGTTCCAGGCTAATTTTTTACTGAAATGAAAGAAAGACTTAATTTACTGGCTAACATTACTACATTCTTCATTTCTGCCTTTTCATTAGTTGCGAAGTGTACCATTGTTTTCTATGTTATAAACTCTCATGGATTGTAAGATGCAGGCTAATTTCAGAGTTAAAATACAAACAAACAAACAAACAAAACGAAAACAAAGCAAAAAATGTATTGTCAGTTAATACTTTACTTTTCTTTATCTACTTGTATATACATGAATATAAATATCTATCCAAAGGTAATATCACTTTATAAGCTGAGGTTCTGACCAAGAACAAGCATTTTCTATCCTGAAGAAAAGTGAGCAGACCCTGCTGCATTAAGCACAGTGGGTCGCAGGTGTGTCTGATATGCCAATGTCAGGCCCTCTTGTGTGAACCTACCCAGTAAATCTGCAGTATCCCTAGTCCAATATATGGCTCCACTGAGTTCCCCAAAGTGAATCTCCCAGTCATATCTCTATGGTGGCTGTGATTTATGGCTATCTTTGTTCAATTGTACTGCTGTAAGAGAACACCTAAACCTGGTGGTTGAGAAAGCACAGAAATCCACTTCTCATGCTTCTGGAGGCTGGGAAGTCCAAGATAATACACCAGCATTTGCTTTGGTTAGGGCTTCTTGCTGTGCTCTTACCTGGGGGAAGAGGAAGGCCAAGAGAGTACAGTCCTGTCTCTCAGGCCCCTATAAGAGAGGGAGGAGACTTCATGGATTGATTAGAGGCCACCCTTCAGTACTATTGTATTAGGAACATTCCAGTTTTGGAGTGACACATTCAAGTCACAGGAGTATTTATATCCTCTGCTTCCCTGAGTTCAGGTTTGAGAGGGGACCCCAAGAAACCCCAGGGAGAATTTTGGGGACCTATATTCCACAAAGAGCCCTAAGTGACCTGTTTATGGGTTTCTGTAGTCCAGAATTCAGGACACTGCTTGGCTGACATGTTGAAGAGCATTTTGTTTGCTCACAAAATTGTAATGTAAAACATGACTATCAGTTTAAGGGATCTGAAGTACTTGAGAGAGATCTAAATTAGTATATCTAGACTGATAAGAATAATGTATATGTTCCCCATCGCTTCTAATACTGCTTAACAAGGGTAAAAGGGTCTTCAGAATCTGCCTGGGCCTTATTTATACATGAACACCACCCACATCCTCTGGGGGAATGGAATTACCAGTATTCTGTACCACAGCATGTGCTGAGTTCCTGTTCCACAATACATTCTGCAACAGCTGTCAAAATGCATGACCAGATGGACACCTATGGATCTCCCAATAAGAGGATTCTGCTCAGACCCCTTTGTAATTAGCATCTGTAGATGGAAGGGGACATTAGCAATTATGAAGTCTTAAGCCCTCATTTAGAGGCAGCACTATAGACGGGAGTCTAAAGTGTTTCTCCTAAGGGTTTCATTGAGAAAAAAGCCAGGATTCAAATCCAAAATTTCTGGTATTCCCTAATATTCAGGAAAATACCATCTCCCCAATGCAGTAGCCGGTATGTGGACATTAACCCAATTATTACCCTGCCTATTATGCTTAGAGAACAAGCAAGAATTATTTCTGAGTTTTGTGTGAAACCTACTAATACAGAAGGAATAGGGAACTAAGGTTAGGCTGGTGTCTAGACCATGTGTTCAGGGTCATGTGAAGTCATTTTGAAGGGATTGCCCCATTCAGCTCATGGTGTCCCCAGGGATTGGCAGTATTGCTCCCATTTAGGTGATCGAGGAACTGGGACTCGGAGGTCTTTAATTAGATTGCCCCTCTCACCAGCACTGTCAGGGACCACACAGTACTCCAGATTAGCTCTCCTCCAAGGTGCTCTCTGTATAATGCATTTGTAGAGCTGGACTAACAGATGAAATTCAACTAACATCAGGACACGAGACAAGCCTTCCTGAGGAACATGTCCAATATCCTGTTTTGTCGCTATCTGGGGCAAAAGGTACAATAAAATCTGAAAATAAATAAAGGAAGGTCTACTAATTCTGAAAATATACCCAAATAGAAATTATAAAACTTTAGTCATAGGAGGATAAAGGTTTTAGTATAGTAAAAATCTAAAGGTGTACTGCAGGGAACTCTGTACTCACCAAATAAATCTACACCTTGGTGAGTTGAGAATGAATCATTTGAACATTAATGATGAATCAAACATAGGATTATAGGTTATGCTTAACAAAAATTGGATCTTCCTTATTTAGAAATTCCTGGGTGAAGGGGAATTAGCTATTGCACAACGAGGAGTGTATGATGATATAAATTTTATTTCTTTGAGACTCTCACCAAGAAAGGATCTCAAGAATTGCATTACAGAACAACCTGGCTGAGATCACAGGTTCTGCACTCAGCTTGTTTGTACTAATTCTCAGAACTCTTAGAACCAGAGTGACTGAACAAATTGCTTATCCCACCTAAGCCTCAGCTTTCTACATCGGGAGGTAGACACCGGATGTGGTGTAGAGTGTGAGGTAATTAATATGTGTACATACTAGTGCTTGGAGCATACTAAACAGATGATCCCTGGTACGTGTTTTATTATGGTTTCAGATTTAATGTATAATTATATAAAGCACATATGCTAAAGAGAAAGTCACTTGAAAAAAATCTGGAAGAAATCAGAACTACAAAGAATTTATTCTAGATAATTTATTCCACTCCCCAGGGCTGGGGACCAAACCAGGACCTTGTGCATGGTGGACAAACGCTTTAACTTTGAGCTATATCCCCGTTCCAAATGGCTTTGTTTCTTATTGTCTGTTTAAGGAAAGCTAAGAAAAAGAAGATATGAAGAAGAAAAGCTAAAGAACATACCCCATTATTCATAATTCTATTTTCTAGGCAGATTCTTAAAATTATAATAGAGTCAAAGCCA